CAAAAGAATGAAAGTAGACCATTATCTTGCACCATACACAAAAATTAACTCAAAATGGATTAAAGACTTGAATGCATGACCTGAAACCATAAACCCCCTAGAAGAAAACATAGGCAGTACACTCTTTTACATTCATCTTAGCAGTATCTTTTTGAACACCATATCTCCCCAGGCAAGGGAAACAAAAGAAAAAATAAATAAATGGGAATACGTCAAACTTAAAAGCTTCTGCACAGCAAAGGAAACCATCAGCAAAATGAAAAGATAACCTAACAATTGAGAGAAGATATTTGCAAATCATATATCTGATAAGGGGTTAATATCCAAAATATATAAAGAACTCATACAACTCAGCAAGAAAAAGCCAAACAACCCAATTAAAAATGGACAGAGGATATGAACAGACATTTTTCCAAAGAAGATATACAGATGGACGACAGGCACATGAAAAGATATTCAACATCACTAATTATTAGGGAAATGAAAATCAAAACTACAATGAGATATCACCTCACGCCCCTCAGAATGGCTATTATTAACAAGACAAGAAATGGCAAGTGTTGGAGAGGATGTGGCAAAAAAAAGAACCCTCATACACTGCTGGTGGGTTGTAAACTGGTAGAGACTCTATGGAAAATAGTATAGAGATTCCTCAAAAAATTAAGAGTAGAACTACTATATGATCCAGCTATTCCACTTCTGGGTATTTATCTGAAGAACACAAAAACACACTAATGCTAAAAGATATTTGCACCCCTATGTTCATTGCAGCATTATTCACAATAGTCAAGAATTGGAAACAACCTCAGTGTCCATCAATGGGTGAATGGATAAAGAAGATGTGGTATATATATATACAATGGAATACAACTCAGTTATAAAAATGAAATCTAGCCATTTGCCACAACATGAATGGACTTTGAGGGTATTATGCTAAACAAAATAAATCAGACGGAGAAAGTTAAATACCATATGATTTCACTCATAAGTGGAAGATAAAGACAACAACAACAAACCAACACATAGATATAGGGATTAGATTGGCTATTACCAGAGGGGAAGGGGGGAGGAGGGGCGCTAAAAGGGTAATAGCGCACGTGTGTACTGTGACAGATGATAATGAGTCTTTGGGTGGTGAACATGATGTAGTCTACACAGAAATTGAACTATAGGGATGTACACCTGAAATTTACATAATGTTATAAACCAATGTTACCTCAATAAAAAAATTTTTTAGTTAAAAATTTTTTTATAAAGACAAGAAATAAGTGTTGGAGAGGGTTTTATGCTAATTGAAATAAGTTAGATGGAGAAAGACAAATACTGTGTGATTTCACTCTTGTGGAATATGAAGAAAACAAAATAAATGAACTAACAAAACAAAAATAAAACACATCGATACAGAAAACAGATTGGTGATTACCAAAGGGGAAGTGAGTGGGAGGAAGGTGAAATGGGTAAAGGGGGTGGATTGTATGGTGATGAATGGAAACTAGATTTTGATGGTGAGCATGCTACTGTAGTGTACAGGGAAGTCAAATTATAATGTTGTACGCATGAAACTTATATAATGTTATAAACCAATGTTAGCTCAGTAAAAAAAAAAAGGATACAGAAGTTTCCCATTGCTCGAGAAAGTTCCCTCTATTCCTCCATTCCCCCATATCAGGAACTACTGATTTGCATTCTATTCCCATGAATTAGTTTGGACTACAATGGAACTTCATACAAATTAAATCATATCTTAAGTTCCCTTGGTCTGATTTCTTTCTACCATAATATCTCTGATATACATGCATGTTCTTACGTGTATCAGAGGTTTGTTCTGATTTACTTAGTTTTATTCCACTGGATGAATATACCAGTTGGTTTATCCATTCATGTACTGATTACTGGTTTTTTGTTTCCAGTTTGTGGAATAAATTCATGAATAATGCTGCTATGAACATTCATATACAAGTTTTTGTGGGTAATTTCCTAGGGCTGGAAATTGCTGGGACATAGCGTAGGTATAAGTTTCACTTTATAAGACACTACTAGTATACGCTCTATTTGTCATCTTAGGACCTCTGTTTACTCGTTCTTTCGATCAACCACTCCCTACAGCATTCAGTATTTATAATTTATGAATTCTAGGTCTCTCCTCAAAATTCTTATAAAGAGAAGCTTCCACTCTCCTCTCTATTCTCTATTTTAATTATATGTTGATCCCTTATCTCATTTAGGTTTGAGGGGAAAAAAGTCATTAAGTGTCTTAAAATGGCACCAAACCCACTTATTCTCCCCCTGTGTCTTCTCCAAGAGTTCGTGGGACTTTTGAGCCCAGGTATACACACTATTTTTCCTAATTCCTCCCATTTTGTTTTCTTCTCTAGGTCCCCTGTGCTAGGATCCCCAGGTCACTGAGCACAGCCTCCCCCAGTAAGCTCACCATTGTTATGTAATAGCTTCCACCACCCGCTTCATCCTCCCCAAGGTGCCACGCCTTCAGCCTCTCTCTGCTCTGTTCATGACTACACTGCTAGAAAAGTTGCTGTTTCAGGGATAGTCTTGCCTGCCTCCCACTTGACTGCAGTTTCTTTGGTCACAGGCTCCCTCACTCATGGGACCTGCCTGGGCCCAGGCCCACCCGACAGGTGATCTCTGGCTGCCTCTGCTCTGGCTGCTCCTGTCTCCAGTCTGCTGCTCCCATGCCCCACCGGGATGGCGCTTCACTTCCTCTGAAGTTGTGATCCCCAGGAAGGTCTCCCACAGAGTGGGTGGAGCTGACATACAAGGCCAGCTTTCCTACAAGATTCACTTCAGGGGCCAAAGACACGTGGTTCACCTGAAAGTCAAGAAGAGCTTGCTGCCCAGACATTTTCCTGTTATCACCAATAACGACCAAGGTGCCATGCAGGAGGACCACCCCTTTGTCCCCCGGGACTGTTACTACTACAGCTACCTGGAAGGGGTTCCTGGGTCCATGGGCACACTGGACACCTGCTATGGGGGTCTGCGTGGCATGCTGCAGGTGGATGACTTCACTTATGAGATCAAACCACTGGAGGCTTCTTCCAAATTTGAGCATGTCATTTCTCTGCTTGTGTCAGAAAAAAGATCAGCAGAGGTGGAAAGGTGTACGATCGAAGAGGAAGATACAAATCAAGCATATGAAGAGGCAACACTTGCTGAAACTCCTAGAGCAGCCCCTGTGTATTTGTGGTGGCCACATAGGAAATACTTAAAAATTCACTACACGGTTTCTAACTCATTAGTTGTTAGAGATAATAATCAGACACATATAGTGGAGAATGTAGTGATTATAAACAACATATTGCATAGTATTTTCAAACCAGCTCATTTAGATGTCCTCATACGTGTTATGTGCATATGGGATGGTGTGGATAGAATGGATTTATATAATTGGGCTAGTGCTTCTGCAGCTATAACTGAATTTGGTTTGTGGAAATGGTGGGAATGGTTTCAAGAAATTCCTCATGATACTTCATTACTTCTTACAGGCCATAAAATCAATGGGGCCACATATTTTTCCCACCATGATGGAATATGCTACCCCAATTGGGGAGCATTATTTGTAACTGTACCAGATTATCACATATTTTTAGCTGCAACTATTTCAGCACATGTACTAGGTCATAGCCTCGGCTGTCATCATGACACACCTGATTGTCATTGTTTTCGGAGAGAAAACTGTGTCATGGCTCCTGAGCCTGGTCTTCTAGATATGCTGAGCAATTGTACATATGACAAACTGCATCGACGGGTTTCCACTTGGGATCCTTGTTTGAGTGTACAAAATGTAGCTTACAGAAATTTTCCTTATATAGCTCCTCGTTGTGGTGACAAGATCATAAATCATCGGGAAGAATGTGACTGTGGCTCCTTCAAATCTTGTTCTGATGATAAATGTTGTGAGACCAATTGTGCCCTCAGCGCTGGCAGTGATTGTAGTATAGGAGATTGCTGCATTGGCTGTAAGTATGCTCAACCTGGAACGGTTTGCAGAGACATGGCTGGTATTTGTGATCTACCAGAATACTGTAGCGGGGAAACAAATTTCTGTCCAAATGACTTTTATATCCAGGATGGAACCCCATGTTCACCATTAGCTGTTTGTGTGAGAGGAAACTGTAGTGACCGTGATATGCAGTGTCAATCCCTTTTTGGCTACCAAATAAAAGATGGTTCGCCAGCATGCTATACAAAATTGAATGTAATAGGTGACCGATTTGGGAACTGTGGCGTGAGAGTGACAGGAGGAGGAGGAAGAAATGTTCCATGTGAAGGTGATGATGTTTTTTGTGGATTGCTACATTGTAGTAATGTCACCCAAATTCCTGGTGGAGGAGAGCACACTACATTTCGTCATATAATAGTACAAAAAGAAAAATGCTTTGGATACGATGCACACCACGGGACAGAAGTGCCAGACATGGGGCTTGTGGTGGATGGTGCAACATGTGGGCCAGGAAAATTCTGTTTAAGACAGAACTGTACTTTTTATGAAGACATGGGTTTTGACTGTGATGTACAGAAATGCAATTTCAGAGGGGTGTGCAACAGCAAGAAACACTGTCACTGTCTGCACGGTTGGAAACCACCATCATGTGAAGAGAGAGGATCAGGTGGTAGTACAGATAGTGGCCCTCCACCTGACAAGGAACTAGGTCTTCGAGCTAGAATGGTATTTAGTGTAAACAAGAGACTAATTCTACTGCTTTTTCGTTTAATTCTTTTGGTGCTTTCAGTAGTTGGTGGTGCCCTTTCACAATTAGAAGAAACTCTAGAAGAGAGAAAAGTGGAAAAAATTGTTGAAGAAGGCAGCGCCCCTGAGCCCAAATAATACTAATTGGAATGCACAAAATGGAGAAAATCACATTGGCCCTTGCTGGGAGAAATAGTCAATAATCGCTCTGGTGATTACATAATCCTATAGCTATTCTGAGGTGGTCATCTTGAAATAAAATGACTTGGCAAGTAAAAATGGGTCTGCGTGTTTAAATTCATTTAACATTTCATGTCTGGTCACATTCTTACTATTCCTATAGATGATAGAAGGAATTCTTGGATTCACTAACGAGAGGACCTGTGCTCATTTAAAATGTGGATTCTAGTGTTTTATGGACATGCCTGTAGCAAATCTTGTTTACATTGGTACACACTTGTTTAACAGTTTATTGGACTTTTTCCCAATTGCTTATGTACTAAACTTTTGTGATCTGTTCATTTTTTTCCTAGTGTTAAATAAGCATAAGAAGAAACGTTGACAGATACAGTAGGAAGACACAAAAGTTTTGTGTCATAGGCACGTGAATGTCAACAGTAGTTCAACCACCTGCTAAGTACATGATCTGGACAAAGTTTTAGGCTTTCAGAGATTCAGCGTTATATGTCACATGTTACATTGACAGAGGGAATTTACTTTTCCAGAGTTTTGTGACGATCAGTGGAAAGCAACTAAGAAGGGCCTGGAACACGTTAGGCGCTTAATAGATGCTAACTCTATCATTCTCATTATTGTCTTGGGTTGTGCTAAACTTGGGGTGTTCCAAATATAAAGCCTTGGCCTTGTATCTTTACTGTAAAACCATCACATGAGGAGCTGTTGATCACTGATATATCACTTCTTAAGGCCTCCAGTTATTAATGTCGCAGCATTCACATTCAAAACCTCAGGAATTGCCTAAGCACAGCCTGTCTATAAAGTACAGGGTGGAACTGACTGACTGATAGATGCACGGAGACAAGAACTTAGGAAGAAAGAAAGAGGACACAGGCATTTCAGAAATAATGCAGTAGAACAGGGTCTGATAGGTGATAGGTGTTACATTCATGCTGTTTCAATGCCTCAGGCCTCGGATCAAATCTCTTTCTGAAAATATGGAGTCTAGATGAGGGTAGTTACCGAAGGAGGGCGGAGGGATGCATCAGTTGAGGACCAACAGGATTGCCACTCTACGATATTGTGATTTGTCCATCTTTTACAGAGCTCTCTTGACCAGCGTTTCTTGTCCAGGTGGCTTAGCTGGTAGAGTGATTTGGATCTTCATCCATGAAGAAGCTGAGTCCCCGTGTACTATGCCCTTGTCAAACGTGGGTTGCTGCATTTGCACGTGGCACCAGTATCCACTAAAAATGACGTAGGATAACCGTTTACTAACAGGGTTATTTCTTGCTGATCCAAAGGCAAAGCTCAAACTAGAGAGTGTCTTCTAGGAGGGGAGTCCTTTTGTTTTGATTTGAGCAGTCCATTTGTCAAAGTATGATAACTGTGGGCCCTGTAACCTTTTTTCTTTCTTTATTTCCATTTGTCCACTATCTGCTCATATCCTTATTGATCTGTTGTACCTTCACAAAGCTGTTTAATTTTTGGTACCATAAATTTGAGTGTGTGTGGTTTTTCTCTTTGGTTATCCTGTTATCTCCAAAATGGTGAACTAAGTGTTTTAACCTGAGGATGGGTGTGGTCTGCCAGTCTGTTTTATGTTTCTAAATAGCATTTGATATTTCAGCTTATAGGCCATAATTTTTAAATTGGTGGCTGTGTCATGCCAAGGCCTAACAAGAGTGTTCCTTAAGAGCGGTTTCTAATTGGTGCTAGATATTTGAGACAGATTCACTACATTCTAGTCAACAAGGTTGGATTATTCCCAGTCAACACAAGGGCAGAAACGCTCCAGGTTAACCTTCAAAAGATCTTTTTCCCTATTTCTAGGGCTTTAGCATATCAAGAAAGAGTGAAGTTCCAGGACAAAGATGAGAGGGAGCTGGAGAAGGTGAGGAAGAGGAGCAAGGGGTCTGAAAGGAAGATAGGGATCAGCTTAGGAGGGAGGTCAGAATGGAGTGGGGTTATGAGAGACAGGAACAGAGGTGGACAGAAGGGACAAGGTCTTTGGGAGGGGAAGAAAGTGGAAGTTTTTTAAAAGAGGCCTGAGACGAAGTCAAGATGGCAGCATAGGCAGACTCTGAACTCACCTCCCATGGACACAGCCAATTTACAACTACTCGTGGAAAAATTACCCCTGAGACAGAACTGAAAACTGGATAAGAGGAACTCCTGCAACAAATTGAGGTAGAAGAGGCAGAAACTCCCTTCTGGAGAGGAAAAATGCCGCCTTCACAGGCCGCAGCGCCTCACGGCTGCCCAGGAGCAGCCCAAAGGTACGCAGCCCTCCCTGGAGGCATGGGGCCCCGAGCCGGGGAGTGCCCCCACTGTGGGCATTTTGTGGACCCAACACAATCGAGACGAGTGGCATAATATCTGACTTTGCCTGCCACTAAAACATTGGGGAGTACTTCCAGAAAAGCTGGTTCACAAAGAAATTAAAACCGGCTCTTAAAGGGCCCACATGCAAACTCACCCGTTTCAGAAAGCAACCTAAAATCACCAGAAAGAAAGGTGCACAGTGCTTTGGTGACAAGTGACTCACCTAATAGGCCCTGAATGCATCTCGGTGAGAGGTGAGACCTCTCCAAGGACTGGGACATTGGTGGAGGCCATTGTTGTGGCCTGGTGTGGGCGTAATGACACAGACACTGTTGGAGTTCTCTCTGGGGCCTGCTGGCCCGGGGTCTGCCCCAGCCGCTAGAGCACCGATTTGGTCCAGCTCGGCCAAGGCAGGCAGCCCACCCTGGAGACTGGCCCCACCAAACAGCGGGCCCTTGGGAACTTGTGGGCATGCATAGATTGGTGACTGGATTCTCTGCAGCCTGGCAACTGAGCCGACTTCCGTGGGGAGGGGCGTGCACAAAGAGCAGGTGGATAGTGTGGGGCGGTGGTGGAGTGTGTGGGGCTCCCACCGTGGAGAGACTGGGTCCACTTTGGGGGGTTGGGGCACGCACAGGGGGCAGGACTGTGTTGACTGTGTGTGTGGACCTGTGGGCGGCGGGGCTTGTCAGCTGCAGAAGTCTTGTGCTTCTCAAAGACCCACATAGGGGGTTTGCCCCACCTTCCAAAGCCTGAAACAATTG